AATCAACAGTTTCTTTTTATTGTTAGGTAAATGGATGCGACCGCGTTTCCTATCTGAATTCCTCTGCCACCGTTGTCAAATGTTAATCAGTTTGTCGGAGGTTTTTCGCAGGTTGTAAATCAATTCTTTTGTGTGCACACGCAGCTTAGATGAATCTAAAAGGAAATCATTAAGAACGCACGCTTAGTATTTGGATAGTGACTTTTATAAATGGCAGTGAGAGTTACTCATTTTAAAACAAGTAGTGGGAAAATAAAGAGATGATGCCGGTAAAAGACGGTATAAAAAGCAGGAGAAGAATGTCTTCGTGCAGAGGACGTAAGGTTATCTAAGAGGAAACGAGTGGCGTTGCAGGCAAAGTCTCTTCCACTGCGATGGATAGCAGGCGTCAGGCAGTGCAGAACCCCCCCTCTGCCCCCCTATTCAAGTTGCAAAAGCTCATTTTGGAGATTTTGCTGGCACGGCAGAAAAAGGCCTCTGTTCCCCATTTTCCATATTTCATATACGGCCCATTGGAAAGCATCGTCTGCGAGTGTCATGGCTTGGCACATTTATGAGAGATGCATTGAAGAACTTATCACTTGGAAGATATGCTTAAGTTCAGCATTTTGAAAGTCACTGTGCACTGTATTCACTTACAAAGCAAAGGGACATTTACATGGTGAGTGGTCATGCTATAGGTAAATATGAGCTCTACGGTGTGCGTCTCCAGCTGCTGCTTGCCGCGAAAAATAACCAAGAAATACATCACATCAATACGATATAAAGAACAAATGTGTTCTGCAGATTTATTTCCACCGCAGACATTTTGAGTTGCGACTGTGGTAAAAATCACAGGTGTGTCTGTTAACATTCATTAAAGTCCTCTCGCTACAGAATTACCAGAATCAGCTGAAACGCCTGTAATTCACACCCACCAGCACTCCGGGCTCATTACTGACTTATTACCTATAGTCTGATCACACATCCAAACTGAGCCTTCATTTGATCTCAGCTTCACACCTGTAAAGTTTCCTGACAGCATCGACACATTTATTGAAAATAAAAAATAAGAATAAAATGACTGAAGATAAAGAACGCCTGCTAACATACTGAGCACCGACTGTCTATGTTTTTTTTAGCTTAAAGAGAGCTTCCCCACTTAGTTGATGTTGTCAACAATAAAGATCTGAAAACACAAATTTCTGCATATTATTTTAAGGTTTCATTAAATCAGTTTATAGAATCAGACTAAACTATTCCTGACCCCACAGCAAAGCAGTTATGAGAGAGCTTAATCTCAACTAGGCACTGCTACATACATGCAACTGCACATATTTCAGCAGATGCACCAATGCAGCCAGCGTTCACGTCACACAATAAATGTAAACACTTAAACTGGATGCAGACCTTACTTATACATTGTAATATTATTGTGTTTTATGCAATACTGTCTAAAAATTCCAGTAGAAAACGACACCGGGCGTCATTAGAGCACAAATTCAATTCAATTTCTTTTCTTCTCAACAAAAAAAAAGTAGATAGCACCGTGTGCTGAATGCAAGTCGAACCTTTAGAGCGACAGAAGCAGAACGTACGTTTGAAACCGAGCTACAGGAGGATCATTGAGACGCAACAATAGACAACCATGAAGGGGTTTTCTGTCATTTAGACTAAAAAGACTTTTCTCAGTGTGTGCAGACTTTGCACGATAAACACTTTACTTCAGTCTTCAATGAGCTTTGTTGCACTTGTGGGGGAAAATTACAGGTTTATCCATCTTATTATGTGGCTGAGTCCAGAGAGCTCATGTAAATCCCTACACTCACTCAGTCACAAACTGAAAGGACTTGTATAAGACCTCCTCAGCAGGGCATTTCTTTTTACATTTGTTACAGATAAATAACAAAACTGGCTCAGTTATATTCAACAGTTTCATTCGTCTGTCACACTTACATGCTTTACACTGACAGTGGCGCAGAGCCAGCGTTAAGGTCAAACGCCATCAAGTTCCTCTGTGACGAGTCCAAAAGTCTGCTGTGAAAAGGTTTGAGGGTGTAAAAAAACCGCCGCACAAGAAGTAGACACGAACTGTATAATGACAGCTGAGGAGTCAGTGCACGTAGGTGTGGTGGGGGCGCGTTTTAAACTGTGTTTGCTGTTGAAATGAATGTTTAACGACAGTCTCCTGTTACACTTTTTCTCCAAATAAAAAAATGCATTTTTACCAAAACTGGGGATTTAGACGTGATATTTCCTTCAGAGCTGGAGTGTCAGTGTGGGTTAGTGTCACAGACACGTGCGTACTCATGCGGCTGACCCTAATCGGTGCTTGCATTGACAGAAGGAAGCCTTCGTGTGGAAGACAATGATCTACTTAAAACGGACGCTCCACTTCATGGAGGTGCTCCGACGATTCGGCCCTCGCTGTCGGGGAAACCGAGCAGTGAGGTTTGCTTGACTCGCTGTCAGATGATTGTCGCCAGTGAGCCTATAAGCTCATCTCGGCTAGCATTAGCCGCTAACCCGTGGGACACTCTGAGGAACTCAAGAACTAAGCAACTTATCGGGAGGCTTCCAGTTCAGGGCATTAGAGCTGACTAAGAGCAAGCAGGGCAACACTGGCCCAAAGTTCTGCTTAGTCGTCGCTTTCCTCAGTCTGGTGTAAAAAAGTGCCACTTTCATTTCCGTGGTGATAAGGGAGAGCGAAAGGCGGGAAACAGACCTGTGTAATACTGATGGACGGAGTCACTCTGCGCGAGCGGGGCCCGAGTGTGCAAATCGGAGGCTAAAAATGCAGCATCAGCAGTGGTGGATTTACTCTGGATGAATGGACTTGACTCGGTGAGGGGAGCGGGGCGGGGGTGCGAAGGGCGGTGGGTGTCAAAGCAAGTGGCTGAGACACGGCTAATACTGCCAGTGAGCTGTGGCCACCTAAGTAATTACTACCTTTGCTGTTAGGCTAATCCCCAGAGCAGAGCAGCAAACTCAGGGGAGAAAAGCTTCGGAGCCTCCGGGGCTCCCGTCACTCGACTTCAATTACACAGAGACGCGGACCTGTCTCACCCAGAGAGAGGGAGAGGGGGAGGATGAGATACAGGGCAGGGAAGAAGCCGCCTATCTGCTTCAAATGCATTTAAATAATTCCTCAGAAATGTTCGGTGAACTACGCAGGGAGGACAAACTCCAATTTCAGATTCAGATTACGCTAAGAAAAAAAAGAATAAATAATAAACAAGAGGACAGTCACATTATACAACAACAGAAGAACGATTTCTAATGCGCTCTCTATAAATGCTGCTCTCTCCTGTATGTTCATAAAAAGGTAAACACTGAAAACAATAAAAAGAAGGATTTGAATTGAGCAGGACTGGTTTTACTGCTCAGGTATACGTGTGAAATTTCTTCCATGCTGACTAACACTTTGTACAAGCATATGGTGCATAAATATTGAAAGAAATGTAAAGGTTTGGTTTGTGACATAACACAAAAATGAGAGGAACAGTCACTGCTCTAAAAACACATTTGAAATCTAATCACGCATCGAGTTTCGTCGGAGCACGTGAGTTAATAAGGCGTGCTTGATTTTAAAAATTCAACTCCGGAGAAACAGTTTAAGCTTAAATTAAACACAAATGCACGGAAACAGAAACAAAGAAAAACTACATTCTGCACACTGACTGTTTGCAACCGAGAAAGAAGAAGGGATTTCACAGCACTCTGGTGATGTTACTAATTTAAAATTTGACAGAAAAGTGAGAGTAAATGATTTATTACATCAAGTGAATAATGTTTCTCTTCCTGCTGATCTACATAAGCCAGCTCAGCATCAGTCTCAGTCTGGGAACTTCCACTCTGTGGGTTACCTTTGCGTTCGGAGCGTTTCTTGCGCCTCCTCTTGAACCTGCGTCGGATCAGGCAGTAATAGGAGCCCAGACTCTGTGCGCCGTTGGTGAGCAGGGCCATGACTTGGTGCACACTACTAGAAATTCCACTAAACGGCTGCCTAACTCTGGCTGAGCGCTTCGTTAAAACTGGAGCAAATTAAACTTGAACTCACACACGTGGTCTACCTGCCCTTCAACCTTCGCCCTCGTCCGCTTCACAAGCCGTGCACCGCTGTTTTCAAGCTACTGACATGAAGAACGCTCAACTCCACACACCTGCAGCGTTTCTTTGTTTCTACTTTAGTCCTTCCCTCATATCCAAACTCCCTCTCTCTCCATCCCTCCCTCCCTTTCCTCCTCGCTGCTTCTCTCCTCTGTTGACTCCATGTCTGCCCTATCAGTAGTCAGAGAGGGGAGGCGATGGAGTGGAGGAGGAGGGGACAAGCTGAGGAGAGAGACTCATGTTTTCATATGGATAAGAATTAACACACAGACCAAAGGCAAACTCTCTACCTGTGTAATCCCAGCTCAAAGTAACTGACACATCCTACAAGCGACGCCAATGTCATCCACCGACTTCCTCCACCCGCTTACCAGTTCATCATACCGTAGCTTTCTGTGCTGTGTGAGTGTAATAAGAGTCTATGTTTAACTATATTCCCTCTGCAGTGAAAGTAAGAGTGTCGGCTCAATGCATCTCCAGTGCATCCCCCCGCTTCTCTCACACACTCAAACACACACAACACACTCAAACATATGACATTAAAATAAGCTCATATAAAAAAGTTACAACTGCAATATTAAAATAATCCGTCACTTGTCATCATACCCACCTGTCTCCTTCTTTAAGATTTATATTTTTTGTATTCCCCAATAACGAGCAAGCTCACCACTTGAGAGGGTGAGAACTTAGAAAGAAGTACTCTGCCTCCCTCTAGTGGCCATCTCGTGTAATTGCAGTTTTGCTGGGCCCAAACCACTTTTTTAAGCCACAGAAAATCAAACAACACTTATGATGGGAGCGCAAAGTTATGTTAGCTTTGTTGACAAATGTAATACAATTCTATCCTGGGTACAAACTCAGTATAGAGACAGACAAAGAAAGGAAGGAAGGGAAACGGCAAAAACACTTACCTCTGGCTGCCGTGCAGTCTGTGACCGGTAAAATCTGCAGGAGAGACAGAGAACACTTTACTAAACGACAGCGCTGACCAAGAAGTGTCTGCCAAAGCTCTTTTAGAGACGCAGTGCAACCAAGTTAGTGGCAGACAACAAGGAAATATGCACATGCTGGACTCATTCTTTCAAATTAGCCGTTTCCACATCAGCTCATCTTTCCCCACATTGTTCCAAAGAATTCCTGGATGGTTACCTAGAGCCACTCTTTGGATGGAACATGGGCTTAGGTGCCTGATCCCATTCATTTAGCTAAAAAACACAATTTTGTCAGTCGCTGGACTGTTTCAAGGCTTCCTGATATTTTATTTGGCAAAAACTACGCCCTTATAAGGAAATGTGATCCCTGTAATTGGTACACAGATCACTTATCTTAGACTGCAGGAACGGTAAGTGGTCAGCTGCGTGGTTTTTTAATATGTTTCTTAAACGGCTGGAGGAGAAAAATCATACTGGTGAAACCAAATAATCTACAAAGCTTAAACCCGCTGATCTCACATGCCAATGTAAAAATGTAAAGACTGACTGCATGAAAACGTCTGAGTGGGTAATCAGATAAGGCAGATCCTGTTAGCATTATTCATTCACTATTATAAAGGGATAAATAAGCCAAGCACAATAAAGCCTGATCACGTCAATGCTCCAGACAACCTGCTAAATCTGTCAGCCATTAAATTGGCTGCTAATGCCTACAGATAAATGTGGAACGGCATGTGTGTTCTTGATGCTGTTGTCAGTTTTTTTGAATAATTAATAACTACCTCGTGTGATTGTTTATTAACTGGAACGTTAATAAACAATCACCCCATTTTCATCCCTTCAATATGTTAATATTTTCTATTAACAGCTTTTATTTTCTTTGGTATGCATGCGTACAAGTGCTTATTAATGCAAATATCTAATCAGCCAATTACACACCAGCAACTTTTCAGTACATAGACACGGTCAACATGTCCTGATGAGGAGATATTTCAGACTGTTTCAAGTCAACTGTAGCTAAAATAACCACTCATTACAGCAAGTATGCAGAACAGCATCTCTTAACCTTGAGGCTGATGGCCTACAGCAGACCACACTGGAAACCACTCCTGCCTTGTGTCAACAGTTCAGGCTGCTGCTGCTGGTCCTCTTATTATCAACTAAACATCATCTACATGCCACAGCCTACCTGAGTGTTGTTGCTGACCATGTTCATTCCTTTATAATAAGATAAAAAACCCTCCCCCATGGAGGCTTCCAGCTGGATGTCACGTGTCACAAAGCTCAAATCATCTCAAGTTCACTGCATTCAAATGTCCTCCACAGTCACCAGATGTTGGGCAAATAGAGCACCTTTGATATATGGTGGCATGAGAGAGCCACATCGTGGATGTGCAGCCAACAAATCTGCAGCAGCTGTGTGATACTGTCATGACAATGTGGAAAGAAATCTGAGGAATGTGACCAGGACCTTTTTGAATCTATGACACAGAGAATGAATCCAGTTCTGACTGCAAAAGGGGGCCTGAGCCAGTACAAGGAAGGCGCACTTAATGAAGAGTCCAGTTTAATATAAAGTATATAACGGTAAGGCAAAAATTATAAGAAGAAATGTAATGTCATATATGTAATGATATAATGCGATATGTAATGTGTAATGATGGGAGGTACAATGTGATATTAGAGTCCAAAAGGTACTGGATGTGTGAGGCTAAGCTCTGAGAGCGTTGTAGACAATTCAGGGTTTTTTTTTGTTCTGTTCAAAAAAACAAACAAACAAACAAACAAACCCAGCAAATCTCTGACATCACTCTATCCAATATATCTGTGAATGGCTAATATCAGCTACTAGTAAAGGCCAACTGAAAGGCTCCATCTGAAACACTGCTACATGACCTACACTGCTCTATGAGTGCTGGGTCATCACAGACAAGGATTAAAAAAAGACATCGCAATTAAGCTTCAGCTTTGGTATATTATTGCTCTACGATGTCCACCAAACTAAAAATGACTAAACTAACAATGGAGAGAAATATACACGTAACAGGTGAAGGAGGGTGAATGGAAAAAACAATCGATACAGAGAAAACCCAGTGAGTGAGTACATAAAGCAAAGGAGGCCAGAGGGAGAGAGAAAAGGTGAGGAGACAAGAGAAACCCGCCCGTATAAAACATAAAATGAAAATGTAATCCCAAAGTAAGCTCTTTTAACATGGGAGGCTGATTACAGCAGGTGAGACTCTTGTGTCACGGCTCAATATAAAAGCTTAAAACTGATTTATCACTTTTGGCCAGCAGTGGTTTGCTGTGTCATAGCAGGAAGGCAGCTCGCCTCTCCAGGACCCCGGGTACAAAAAAAGGGTTAATAATATGGATGGATGAGTAGATGGATGGATAGATGGATGAATGAATGAATGAATGAATGAATGGATGGATGGATGGATGGATGGATGGATGGATGGATGGATGGATACATGAGTGGATGGATGGAAGGCAGGTAATGACATGCTAACAAACAACAAAGCAGAAATGTGGGGCAAAGAGGCCTGCACAAGAAAAACGGTGAACGTAAATATACTCCAGACGCAATTTCATTCATGCTTCTGTGTACAAGCCAAGCATAACTCCAGCTGGCCAAGTTTCACCACGACAGGCCGGCTGCATGACTGTTTTCTGTTTGCTTTGTTTTTTTGAACGGGAGACCAGTCAGTCCGCTTCCTTCAGTGTTTTCTGTTTACAGCGACTGTGCAAAGAGCTGCAGACAGGCCAGAAGAGACTGCGTGCACGCTCCGCAGAGGCACATGTTGTTCCACAGCAGAGACTTCAACCTCCGCTCTCTCTCTCTCTATTTCTTGGCATTTGCAGCACATACTGAATGGACAAGGGGAAAGAGGCTGTGGTTAGGCAGCCAGTACTTTGCGGTTGAATTTAAAGGCATTCCAAACTCAAATAACAGCCGAACTCCTGGTGGCCTTCGCTGTGGTTTGACGGAGAAACACGATCATTGACAAAAACAACCTCTTAAACAGTTTTACAGGGACAAAATCCAGGCTACTGTGGTGAACCCATCTGTTGGTTCATGCGTGCACTCACAGAACACTACAAAGCACAAAGCTCTAAAAATAAACTCAATGGGAACCTTTTTTACATTTTGTGTTTTCCCCAAGTCATTCTGAAGCTGTTCATCTAAACGTAAGAGACAGTTCCAGGGATGTAGAGTTCAGTATGAGTCTAGCTGCTTTACTAACTAGCCAACTTGTCCTATTATTAATTTAATTATTCCATAATTAGTCACAACAATGATGCTGAAAAAGATCTACACTGTGCAGTGTAATATAACCGAACACCCACTAAGATGGACATCTCAAAAAGCGGTCAAATGGTATGTCAACACACTACATTTACACTGTACGCTCACTGGCATTCATCAGCATGCCTCATTAAAACCTGGAACCAAACCAAAAGCCATCGAGCTAACAAGCTAGTTCAAAGCAAAAGGAAACCAATGAGCTACCCGACTGATCAACATCCGGAGAAAAACAGAAAACACAAACCTCCGAGTGCGGCCCTCAGATGCTGATGAGTTATCTAGAAAAGCTGTGCTTGTTTTTTTTCTTCACTCTCTGTTTGAAAACCTAAAGTTTGCCAATGTTTTTTATCTTTTTGCGCTGAAGCAGTCATCTTACGTCAGTGTGGAGAACCAAGTGAAAACCTAACGCAGAGATTAAAGCGTGTTCTGCGGCGCTTGAATACCTGAATGTGAAGTCAGATGAAAAATGTCCAGGCAGAAGGAGCGCAGCTTCATTGCCTTGTGAGGAAGTCACGCTCCTAAAAGTAACACTCCCTAAACCTCATCTTGGGAACAGTTTGGTAAGAAGGAGAGAGAGAAGGAGAGATGGTGTGTGAGAGATTTGTAGTAGACTGACGAGGTGGGGGTGGGGGGTTTCAGAGGACGTCCTCTTACTGGAGCCCTTTGATCAATAGAGTCGGGGGCAGAAGGTGCATGGAGAATAACACGGGCGGTTCAATAGGCTTGACGGGGACGATCAGAAAAATGGCAAAGAAGTAAAAAAGCATTCAGACTCTGGACTGGACAATAATTACGTCTGAGAGGTTCAGCGTGGGGGAAAAAAGGTTTATGAAAGAGAAACAGAAAATCAGTCGACCGCGTGTGATATGAGGAGTGCGTGACTGTAAACCTCGACTCTCAGTCTTCAGCCAAAAATTAGGTCAATGGCTCAGTAACCGCTGGCCACACACACACACACACAAACAAACACACACACACACACACACACACAGTCTAGCCAGGGTCCTGATAAGCCATTAAGCAGCTACCCCTCCTGCTGACCTACCTTTTCTTGCTACTACACACACACACACATTTTAATTAATGCATTTAATTGAATGTGTGTGTCGTATTGAGATTGATTGCGCGCCTGCCCGTAAAAAATTCATGGGAGATAAAAGCTGGATCACCATGTGCAGTTTTCTCCACGATGACAGCCTGGAAATGTTTTTGCTTTTCTTATTTGCCCAGCAGAGGGCAGCACTGTGACATGAATGTTATTATGATGCTGTATGTACACAGGGAACATGTACAGAGGGAATCATTGATTTTCTTTCTTTTATCTTTGCTTTGATGAGCATGCTGGGTGTAAAATCACCTCACGGTTTCTGCTTGCACATAAAGGAAACTCAAATCTCTTAATCAATGAGGCCGCCTCTCTTACACCAGCACCTGTCCCAGGTGTCGGTGCGTGGAAGAAGAAGAACAACAACTTGAGTTTAAAAAGCACAAGCTGGAGCAGAAGGTGCTGACTAAGACAACACAAATGACACATGCGCAGGGCGACTGCCAGCACTTTAAAAAAGTCGCACAGACACCAAGCCAGCAGCCTGCCCACATGCTAAATGCAGCGGACTTATGTGGGAACATTTTTAACAATTTTTTGGTGAAAACTCTGCAAAACTTGTTTTTTTAGTTTAGTTTTTTTTTTTTTTTAAATCAGCGTGACTCCAAAAATGTTGCACAGCTCTGAGTTCCTTTCCTCTGTATTCAGATCGATGTTGTGAGCGCTGTTCTAGGGGGAGGATTCTGTGATGCTCAACAGAAGACGCCTCAGGAGAGCACATGCCAGGCCTGTAAACACTCAGCCAGAATTCACAATGCAAGAAGATAAAGTGCTATACGTGTATATTTGGTAGCGTGGGTCTTCAAGCATGGCTTGTTATTGTTTATCAGCTTTTTTTTACATGAAAAAAAGATAAATTTCAAGGACTAGAATTCATATTAATATTACAATGTGATGTATTTTGGCCACCACAGAGACTGAGTAGTCCATCAAACAGCTGCTAGCACGAGAAGGCAGTGATGGATCATATAACTGAGTTTACACTCGATACTCCTACACTGTGACCAGGTTCTATGTAAAACTACAGTACTGGCAGCATAATAAAGCTTACAGTACAGCTGCCGTAATGATAACAGTTTTTACTGTGACTTGTTTCCACAGCATGTCTTCCTCCCCTCACCCCCAACCGGTCATGACTGATGGCTGCCCCTCCCTGAGTCTGGTTCTGCTGGAGGTTTCTTCCTGTTAAAAATGAGTTTTTCCTTCCCACTGTCACCAAGTACTCACTAGAGGGTTGTTGGGGTTTTCTCTGCATTGCTGTAGTGTCTTTACCTTGCAATTTGACACTATATAAATACAATTTAGGTAAAAATAAAGTATACTTGAAATATATAACACATCATGTGTTTTGTTGTCATTTTACTGTTCTTACTGTAATCTCTACCACAGTTTATAACTGCAAAAATGCACCGGAGTCCTGCAGAGTCATTAACACCACATCTCATGCTGAACAGGTACTTAATCTGCACGAACCCGCCCGTGCACCCCCAATTCAGCTTTTTGTCCTTCCAAAACAATAGCAGGATGTTGGCTTTTGTTTCCACCACTTCTTCCACCGTGTGAATACGGGGAATGCTCCTGCGCTCTACATTTTAATAACCAGAAGATGAATGCTGGCCAGGGGTGGTTAATTAATTTAGGAGTCCCAGTCATGGTGGCAGCTCTTTGCTTGTTAAACCTGAACGCAGTTCTCAGCAAAACAAACAAAAATAACAACAACAGCAGAGGGACAGCCCATAATAATCCACAGCTAATAAAGAATAAACACTGCTAAAATATTGATTTAAACATAAACACTTAAATTCCCATCTGTGCCGCCACTGTTAGACTGCACATATTTCCTCATGTTCCTCTTAAGGAAATAAGAACCTCAACACATAAATTAGATGATTTATGGTTGGACCGAAGCCTATGCGTCCGTCACTGGTTTCTGAAACTTTGAGCGTTTTTCACGTCACTATCTTAAAGTAAAAAAGAAAACAGATGAAAGCTTGCTCATTGGCTTACGCTTTGTCAATAACAGGTTGATAACCAATGTTTTTTTACAAATAAAGTTTACGTTTTTTAATTCAATGTGACTAAAAACGAGTGACCGAGCCCATAAACTCATCAGGCAGATGTTCACAGTGTTCATGTCAGAGACCAGAGGGGACCAGAGGCCTTTTTGCAAGCGCAGCGATCGACATCTGGTGCTCTTAAGATCAAATGCAGGTTTAAGGCACTTCCATGCTGGCTTGACTTTTGAGAAACAGAAGCTACGTCCAAGCAACAGAGTCAAATCCAAATAAATTAAACAGTCTTAAATTGTGCGATTTAACACAACACTGTACAGACGTTTCATTTGAGGATCACATCCCACCATCGATAGGGTGTCTATCCCGAGGCGTCACGAAATCCAGCACATTTACAATATCGGACATGTTACTGTACAAAACTGCCTACATGTTTACAGCGACTTGATGAAGCGCTTGTCAGATCCAAGAAAATGGATGTCAAGTCTGCAGGGGACTCCCTGAACTTTCATGTTTGTTGTGCCCTTCTGATGAGCCTCCACTGAAGCAGATGACAAAGCAGCTGGTAGCTCCATGTGCATCAGAGGAGCCAAAAGGCCTCTTCACCTTCGCCAACAGCGCGAGTCACAGTGACAAAAAAACTGCATGTATTGTATGGGAAAAATTCAAATTCAGGTAAAAACACGACACGCCGCTGCAAACCTCACCAGCAGCAGCTAGATATCACCAAGCTTGAGTGAAAACACTGTGCTGTTAGTGAGAGACAAAAATACTGGCAAGATGAGAGCAGAGATGAGCGAGAAGGAGAAGCCAAATGAGAAGGTGGCTGCCTTCGCTAAAATTAGAGCCTAATGTGAGGGAATACACATAAAGGAACACACACATCTACCAAGTACCACACAACAGCTCGTGAATTCTCTATAAACAAACCAGATAGCTAAAATAATCTTCTGACTTCAAGCAGCTTCCAAAACTCTAATTACTCACTGAAAAAAATCATTTTATCAGCTCCTATATTTTACTGCTCAGCTCATGAAACGGGAGTCTGGTTCTTCTCTAAATAAGAAGGCCCGTAAATAGGAATGACTTTATTCTTCCTATGGGAGTTTCCTCTAGTTCCCAAGCCTACCATCAGCTCCCACTACCGGGTGTGGTCCACTGCTTACCCAGGCATCCAATCTCTTTGCCTGGGACACATCCGCTCCACTGCTTGTGGCTTTGGGCTTTTCGTCTGGAGCTCGACCAGCAGTTGCACGCGTGTGTTTGTGTGTGCGGTCGACGTTAGAACGGGGAGAACAATGGACGGCTCTGTGTTTGCCCTTCTGGCAAGATATATACCTGAAGGGCAAAAGCAACCAGAGAGGGAGAAGGGCAGCAGACTGCAAGCCACGAAGGCGGCTTTCAAAGGGCAGGCTGAGATGACTGTTTATTAGGTGCCGTGCTCCATTTTCTAGGGTGCAAACTATATATATATATATATTTCAAAACAAATATACACCGAGGCAGATGTCATTACACACACATCAGAACCTGTGACAAAATGCATCACGTCTCCTCCGACGCCCACGCTCCTCCAGTCTGATTTGGCTTAAACAAGGTGCCCGACCGAATACCAATAAAGCCGAGCTATTTTGATTTGGTTCCACAGTTGTCATGTCGTTTCTCGTGTCAGCTCTGGCTCAGCTGAGCTGCTGCAGGCAACAATATGACAACAATCTCAGGGAAGTCCTCAAAGATTTGCACCGTGCAACAGAAACACACACACACACACACACACACAAAAATAGCAAGTTATGTGTTTGAGCTCCAGATGCAGGTAAGCTGCTTATGACTGTGTTTTGGGAATATTGTAGATAGGTCAGATCACAGCGTCGTGGAAGCCACAGCTGCGATACCCCTGCGTGAACTTCACGCCTACTTTAGTCACGAGATGTCAACGCAAATTATTGGGCAGCGTAGCTCAAACTACTGACGATGAGCAGTGGATCCTGTAACCGATGCTCAAGGATGCTTTAGCTGTAAATTGATGTGATGATAAGCAGTGCACCGGAGACTATCCACGCACGCTTTCTGCCCCCTCACACACATAAACACACAAGTTTGTTTCTCACAATCTCCAACAGAACATCTCGTCTCTTTTCTTTCTTCGGTGAACTTTTTTCCTCACTCGAATCGTCCTCCTTCTCCTCCTCCATCAGCATTTTCTCCTATGACGAGCAAGTTCGCTCTCTCAGCCTATTTATCTCTCTACCCTGCTGCGTGCCATGTCGACAACATAAACTTCCCTTTCCTGTCTTATAGGAAAAAAAACTGGAGGTCACAGAAAAAAGGATGTGTAATTGTCAACCTAATCTGAATTCCAGTAAGACCGTCACATCAGCCAGCACCGAAGCTCTCGGGCCGACTATATAACACACACTCGCGTACTCACTCACTCAAAGTGTTTTTACTGCACCGCAATGCAGTGTGACATTGAGGATAATGACTGCACTCACACTCACACATGCACACACACATCCCTGCAGAAAAACACCTACAATTACACAAAGAAAAGCCAAGGTGGGCAGGCACGGTCACCCACAGTTTTCAAGGAATTTTTAGTCAGCACACAGATGAAAAGCCTCGACGGCTCTTTTGTTATCTGCAGTATTTAGTACTTTGTGATTTTCTGATCTTACACCCCTCGTGGTTAAAGTAGCTTTGATTTGTTTTCATGGCTGGAACAATGGAAACTTGTAACAACATTTCAAGTATTCACACAAAAAAGTGAATAAAAAATCTCTTCAAACTAAAGTCTTACTAAAGGTTTGTTGCATCAACGAGCAGCACTGAACAACAGTGCCAGCTTCGGCTCCATAAAGACAATATTGTTTTAAATAAAGAATTAGATTACATATGTGGTAGTGCGGGAAAATAAAAAATACTGTGCATAAAATAATATATATGCACAGAATCTTATGGCGATAAGTAACTTAGCTGATGGAGTCAAAGTTTCTCTAATCACAGGATGAAAGACACCAAAGAGCAGCTCAAGGAAACAGACCAGCACCGACGGTTAGCAGCAAGGGAATGAAACAAAATGCTAAAAGCAGTTATAAAATATATACTGCTCAAAAGGGGCAGCGCTTAAATCATACAACACATCTTGAATAATGAAATATTATCAAATCAAATCAA